AGTAACACTTTATTATGAAATATGATTTAAAAGGTTCTAATCTTAAGAGCATAAAGTGCTATCAATATTTAGATATAAACCTAATGAACTTTATGAAAACTTCTATGTGGAGAATTATAAGACATCATTGAGCCATATGAAGTACTGAAGAAATGAAGAAGATATACCATGTTTATGGATTGGGATAATCAAGCAAATAAAGATTTCTATTTTTCCCCAATCTGTACATGCGATGAAATCCCTTTCATAATCATAATGCAAACAAGGCATTTTGTTTATTTATGACTTGTGGGAGTACAAATTTGTGGTCCTCAGTGACCACAGTAATTCTGTTTTCCAAATTACTAGAATGGCTATCTTTATAAAACACAGGTTTCATCGCATGATTCTCTTGCTTAAAAATTTCACCAAGTCCTCAAAATTTTCAGGATAAAATTTAAAATCTCAAACAACAACTACCAACCCTTTGTGGTCTGACCCAGGCCTCTCTTGAACCTTGTCTCCTGCCTTCCTCTCTACCTAACCAGGGCTCTGGAGTCCCACACATGCTATTGTAACCCTGAGGGTGTCCTTCATAAAGCCTTTAGTGCCAGAGACATTTGGGTCTGGTCTGAGAGCAGTACGGTAGGACAGTTCGGGTGTTGTTTCTGGCAGCACACCCCGGCCAAGGCTAAATTCCAGACCCCACTGGAGACCTTGTGAAGTGCATACATTTAGCATAACTTGATAAATCATGTTCTGATATTTGCACGTAAATCCCTGAGCAACTGAGTGATGCCCCTCAATCTTCTTCCTAGATAATAATTTAAGTGCCTCAGAAGTTCTATAACATTTCTTTAAATGTAGGCTTAAAAATGGGAGACTATTGTGTATGAAGGTCTGTTCTTTTCAGAACAGTAAGTGGAGGATTAGGAATAGAGACATTTTTAGAGAAGGCACGACAGATCTCAAGGACCTGTCCAGAGACAGATTGCTAAGAGGTACAATTATAGCCTACAAAGCAAAAAAACAACCAAAAAAAAAAAAAAAAACCACCCAAAAGGGAAAAAAACTGAGATAGAAGAGACATTAAAATTTACGGGGAAAGGTTAGCTATTAAGACTGAAAATAAAAGCAAGGAAAGGTGATAATGGAATAAACCCAGGAAATGAAACTGTCTAGAAATCAAGGGAAGAAAAACCTCTTATCCTTGGCTTTTTGGTCCAGCTCACAGGTTTAGCACAGAATGCTCCTGGAAGCCAGGAAAAGATAAAACAAAGAGATTGGTCTGAAAAGATTATGAAGTCTAACTGCTAATGAAAAAAAAAAAAACAACGGGGGGCCCACTACAGTATCTGAAAAAACATATTTTATCATGTAAACTAAAAAAATTTTTTTTTGCCTTTTCCTTTCATTACCTTGTTTTATAAAGGGATTGGCAGAAATATTTGGAATACAATTCCAAATGCCTTCATCAGATACATGCCCCAAATTATTTTAACAACCAGAAACATTAGATTTTGGCAAACGTTTGTTCATTGCACTGAGATGAAATTTATTGTGAAGCTTCTTTACTTCTTTAGTGAAAGAATTTAAGAAAAGTATAAATATAGTGGGATCAGGAAATACATGCTCATTTTCTCTCTCCCTGCAAACACGGTGACCTGTGGGTTTGCGCAGCATGGATTTCACAGTGTCTGGGGCTATTGGCAAGAGTGAGAACAGGGCTTACTTTTCTATATGCCCGGAATTGCTTCTGCATGTAAAAATGGCTGACAGAATTTCCTCTGAAAGTGGAATGTGAATTTTTAAAAAAGCTTTGAGAGATAAATCATGGATAGAAATATGATGCATATATTTAGGAATTCAACTTCATATTTGGGACTATAGGATATGTGTTTTAACTGCTGAGTTACCATTAATTTTGAAAGCAATAGTTGTAGGTTAAGTCCTTTGACATTCCTTGAGGTGGTCGGAATCCTAAACACCATGCACCTGGGTGGTGTGAGACCCAGGGGTAAGCCGACACGACTCTGAAGTCTGTGGATTTCATGTGAGTATAAAATCTACTGCTTGAGTTATGGATTGACAGATGTATTAACTATGTTCCCTAACACCCCCATCTGCACACACACCCTCCTCCATCCGCACTATAAATAAAAAAATGCAAGTATTATTATCTACTGTTTTTCAAAATCTAATGAAAGGATAATTTCAACACAATTTGGAATATGTCAAATAATAATAATAATAATAATAATACACATTTCTTAAACTTTCATAGGAAACCTTTTCTCTCAATTGTTTTTACCTCGTTATTTTTATTTGTTCTCATTTTTAAACAGATACATAATATTATACTAATTTTTCAAGTGGAAATATTGAGGCATGAATGAAATAAGGTCGTAATAGAAGTCTCTTGAAGTGGCTTATTGTGGATTTGAGACAAGAAACCAAGTTTCTGGGGCGCCTGGGTGGCTTGGTTGGTTAAGCATCTGCCTTCGGCTCAGGTCATGATCCCGGAGTCCTGGGATGGAGCCCTGCATCAGGTGTGGGGCTCCCTGCTCAGCGGGGAGTCTGCTTCTCTCTCCCACTGCCCCTGCTCCTGCTTTCTCTCTTACTCTCACTGTGGTGCATGTGCGCTCTCTCTAATAAATAAAATCTTAAAAAAAAAAAAAAAGAAAAGAAAAGAAACCAAGTTTCTAATCTCTTTAGCCAATGCTCTTCCTATTGGCTTAATGTATCCCCAACAGAGTGAGGGTTTTATTTTTTATTTTTATTTTTTAAAGATTTTATTTATTTATTTGAGAGAGAGCAAGAGAGAGTGAGAAAGAGCATGAGTGGAGGGGATGGGGAGCTGGAGAGGGAGAGGGAGAAGCAGGCTTTCCACTGAGCGGGGAGCCCGACTCGGGGCTCTATCCCAGGACCCTGGGACCATGACCTGAGCCAACGGCAGATGCTTAACCAACTGAGCCACCTGGGTGCACCAGAGTGAGGGTTTTAAATGAAGAACTTTGACACCTGCCACCTTATACATCCCTAACACCTCGATACACCTGCTATACTCACTGCCTTCCTCCAGGAACACTCCAGCCCCTTAAAACTTTCATATGTCCTCTTACTTTAGATTTATATTTTATCCAACAAATACATCATTCCTGAATTTTAAGATCCAACCAGGGAAAGCAGAATTACTTATCCACATATTATAAATAAAAGTAGTAAATGTAAATCATACTCAGTCCTAATTTGTGTCATGCCTACCCAACTATCTGAATTTATAAGATTTATTCCCCCCCCGCATCATTGAAATGCATCATTTCAATAGTAAATTGGCCTTTATTCTGTCATTTAACATTTTTTTAAGAGTAAAAGGAAAACTAAATTTACTAAGTTTATGTGTAGTTTACAGTTACCAGTAACATTAATCTAAAGACATAGGAAGATTTTTACCTCCTTGTTTTTTTCTGGGATAACTACTTCAGCTCATCAGGGCCTGCCTGTTGAAAAAGATGCCCCTTAGAAATTAGATACATTTCATTCAGGTTTAGGAACAACCTGCAACAGAGCTTTAAACCATGAAGATTCACATGAAGGAAATAGGTCAACTCTAGTACCAAACAAAAGATGTTAGATTGATGTGTTCCAACCTCAAAGGAACTTATTGGATACATTTTCTTTGACTAAACTTCACAGCATAGGAGGGCCAAGATTTTCTGAACTGATTTTTGAGTCCTTTTGTTCCATGATATAAACAATAAGGAAGGAAAAGGAAGAATTTCACTGCATTTAACTTAAAATACAAAAACAATAACCAAAAAGGTGTGTATGGGGGGGGAGTTTTGAAGATTACAAGAGGGAAGGATGCAAAATTTTTTACAAAGGCAGTTGTCATAACAAGCTGCCTGATGATGGAAATAAATTAAAACCCTTATAGGTGGAGGAAACACTTACATAATCATTTGAGTGTACTTGATTTTGAATGATCTCACGATAAAGGTCCCGAGGAGCCCACAAACACACCACAAAGGAGTCACTTTACACCAGGACTCATGAGTAGCAACTGTTTCTTAAAAGAAAACAAATTTCTGTTCAGGGAATTTGAACAACTCCAAAGATTTAATGACTTGCAGGGGTTTGTAGGTCAGTCACATCTGTTCTGAAAAGAAATGCTTCTTCCTGTTTCTAAATTGACTAACCCTTAACCCCATTAGCCCTCATGTCTTAAAACAAAGATTATTCCTGTTTCATGGGCTGTCCAACAGTCAGGGCCTTTATTTTTATTCCAGCACATTGAACTCATCACAGTTTTATTCTTCTCTTTCAGTCAGCAAAGAGAAGGAAGATACAAAAGAAGAAAGCAACAAATAAAGTCTGCACTGGGTTTGAAGGTCGGATCGTTACATCTTGTCCACATGGATACCTGTGGAAAATAAGAGTATCTAAGACAATAGCCAGCACCTTTCCAAGGATGAGAGTTCCTTCTATTTTCGTTGCCTTCAATCATTAGGTTTCTGTTGTTGTGCTGAGTCTTCTCTGCATCCAACGAAAGGGAGCCAGTCTAAGGGAGGAAAAAGCAAGTCCCCTGGTTGTCTCAGAGGCTGTGTATGAATCCCCGGTGTAAGCGTCGGCTGCTTTGTGCTTAGAATACACCAGAACATAGAAGTAGGGCTGTCCCCCAGAGTCTAATTTGCAAATGTAACAAGTGGCTTGAAAAATTCTGAAGGAAAGGAGTAAGATGAAAAGTAGGCAATAAAATGAGGACAGGCCGAAAAGCGAGAGCTTGGAGGAAAATGAGTGGTCGGGGGAATCCACATATTTTATAAAATGATCAGAGACTTTCCGTCTGATGCTAAGGAAGAGAGAAAGACCTTTTTTATATTGCAAGAGTGAGCTGCTACCTTGTACCATGTTCCCTACAGCCTTTTTTTTTTTTTTTTTTTTTGTACAAATAATGACCTGGTAGATAGTGAGAAAGAAACGAGCCCCAGCCCAGGTGCGCTTCATCTCCCTGGTCTCACCTGTGTGTACACGAGGTTTTGCCAATGCTGCGCAGCAGGGTAGCCCCCCGCTGGAAACCTTGCCAGGCTGGCCTGAAGAAGGGCTGAGCTCCTCCTGAACGACTTCACGTCGAGCTGCAGGAATTTGTCAGGATGGTTGTTGTTCGGCAAAACAGAGAGATCCATGTCTCCCTTCGTCTGCGGTGGAACACAAAGCAAGTGAGGCTGCTCTTGTCAGCCTTGTCCATTATTAATGAGCCTGAGGATGCTCTGACTGGCATCTGAAACCAGGTCTCTCAGCTACACTGGGGAGCCAACTCTTGAAATGGCACACCAACACACAAGAACAACGCAGCACCCTGCCTTGCCTTTTACACACAATACACACACACACACACACAACACAGACACACGCACGCACGCACGCACGGTGCTTGAATGGGACAGATGGGGCTACACTCATTAAATTTAACAAAATGCCAAAATCGGATATGTAGCCCTAAATGTCGCTCCATACAGCATCAGAAAGAAGAGTTCAAGAGGAACTATTCTTTGGATAAAGAAGATTGCCAGCATTTCAACGTCATAGTCCATAATCGGAGCACATGAAATATCACCTCCAAAGGAGAGCTTACTTAATTTTTCTCTCTGAACCTCCCCGAGCTAACACAGCTAACTTGGCCCGGCCCACGCAGCCTCCCACGTGGTGTGTGGGATCTTGTTTCTTCTCCTGTTTGGAGTCCCAGAGTCTCCGGCTCGTGTGAAGCCTGACCACGTTTAGGTTGTCAGCTTTGGTCTGGATCGAGAAATGGCAAGAATTTGCTTTAGAGTTTGCCACAGTCATTTAGTCCCCCAGTCTACTGCCTTGATCCATTCACTAGCTGAGGCCCCTTTGACTCGGTTCCGAGCTAGTAAACTCTTCCGGTGTGTTTTGGTGTTCGTACAGTACACTTGGAACCAAAGGGGGACATGGCTGCTGGGGTTGGATGATGTGCTGTCCTGAGCGAGCCCATCTGCCGTTCAGAGAGCCAAGGTGGGGGTGAGGCTGTGGACCGAGTATGAAGCCAGGGAGTAGTGATGACTTAAATGGAGATAAGCTCTCACATTTCAAGACACGCTGCCTCGGGCAACCCATACTTCTCCTTGGGAAAGTATAGATTTCCATCTAGGAAAAGAGGAAAGTTTCCCACTGTGAGAAGGTAAAGGATAGACACATCAGCGGTTTTAAAAAGACATAGGTTGTTTGTTATGTTTGCACCTCTGTAAACCCATCTGATTCAGCTGGAAGGTTTCTCTTCCAGGGGTAAATGGGGTCACATGTGGAATGGATCAACCCAGATTTCAGAGGAGTGTCATATAGCCCATAAGCAGCAGCTAGGATGTTTTCAAATCACGCAAGACCCTAGAGAGTACTTACCTTCTCTATAGCAATAAACATGGGGGAGTTAAAAAAAAAAAATCATGTCCTACTTATAGTTGGAAAACAGGATTAAACAATCAACGTTTTCTGTAAATTATTTTTGGGATCCAAACTCTTTCACCGTCTTGTAATATTTAAAATACGTTTGGGTGGTTTTAACAACACCTTTCCTGGAGAAAGTAAGAGGTGCTTCATAGTGACAGTTAACAACAAAGCAGTTAAATTGCAACTGCTTCAAGAATCAAGTGTATTGGGGTGCCTGGGTGGCTCAGTCGTTAAGCGTCTGCCTTCGGCTCAGGTCCTGATCCCAGGGTCCTGGGATCGAGCCCCGCATTGGGCTCCCTGCTCCGCGGGAAGCCTGCTTCTCCCTCTCTCACTCCCCCTGCTTGTGTTCCTTCTCTCACTGTGTCTCTCTCTATCAAATAAATAAAATCTTTAAAAAAAAAAAAAGAATCAAGTGTATTATGAGCGTGTGCAAGCGCTTGGTACTTTCTGGATTTTCTGGGCGGCTGCCAGAATACATCTAATGAATAAATATTTCTCAGGCTGTTTGCTTTTCCTAAAAGATTCTTCGGGGAATAACACACATCTTCAAGAAGAACCTTACTTCTCTTTGGCTCTCTGTATTGGCAAGTGGAGACACAGAACCCAGATCCAAATATATTTGATTAGGCCTCTTCTTTAGCCAAAGTATGAGGTAGGTGAAATGAGCCTTCAGTTTTCCTTAGGCATCCTTCCTTTAGATCCCTCCGCCACGTTCTAGATGCCTGGAGGCTTGTACACTGTCTCCTTCTGTTTATAAGTTTAGTTTCAGACTCTCCATTTTCTTTCACCATCCTCTGTGTACCCTCACCCCCAAACCAGCAGTTCTTATTTCTCACTGCTATCCCTGTAGGTAACCTGAGCGATATACAGTCAGAAAATCAAGCTTTCTCCATTCTCTCCTGCTACTGGCCATCTCTTCCCCACCCCTGGTCCCCACCTCCAGCCCAGCCCACCCCGAGCCTCTGGCAATGCCAATCCTTCTGCCTGGAAGCCTTTCTTCCCAACTCTGCCAGTTGACCACCTCCTACTCATCCTTCATGGGCCATTGCTGATAAATCACTGCTCACAAAACCTTCACGTGTTTTCCCAAGTAGGTATGGTTTCCCATTCCTTTGAAATCTTAAGAGTGATTTGTTTATACTCTCATCTTACTATCCTTTGTTTGATGGTGTATTTCATACTTTTCTTTTACAAACCGTACACCGGATGATACATTACCAAAGAGCAGTCCTTTTGGATGCTTCCTTTCCCGTGAGTCAGGTCTAAAGACCCTCATGATGTCCTTTGTTCGATAAATAATGATGGCTCTTTTCTTTTCCAAAGCCCTAGGAAGGACTCTACTCTGGTTGGAAATTGATAATCCAATTAAATCTGATTAAAAATGGCTTAGGTTTCCAAGCTCAGTGAAAAATGGATTCTATTGCCAAAAATGTTTATGACATATTCTCTATATATTCTCTTCTGGTAGTTTATGATGCACAGGCTCACACTGAAGACTCTGAAAAGTTCTGCTTTGATAAGTCTAGGATCGTCCAAATTTATTTGGTCATATAATACCCATTTTTTTTTTGTTGTTTTCCTTTTAACTCTTCAAAAAATTTACCCAAGTGTAACTGGACAAATACTGGATTAGGGTTTTTGTTTCTTTATTGTCATTAGTAACTTCAATCTCGAGTGACAATGATCATAAATAAATATGAAGAGTTCCGATTGCAGGGAAATCTGGTGGAAATGGGCATACCTGGGGCATGCAGGTAATCATTTGGTCTTTTTCTTTATAACAAATTTTTATAAAAGTATTACTTCCTTTTGGATTTGGACCCAGAATTACTGTTTTTTGAACATGAGAGTTGTAAAAATAGACTTAAATATGGTTCACTAGGCAAAGCTGTCTACATACTAGTTAACCTTATTTTCTTCTTTTCCTCTCCTCATTCTCTCTCTCCCGTTTTTCCCTCTCTCCTCCCTACTTCCTTTCCTCACTACCTCCCTCTCTGGGTCGTACCAATAACCAACTGAAATGTCTGTAAGTATTTCCAGCTGAAAAGCTTGTACAATGTCCGGATGAGCAGTTGGGGTTCATCAAATTATTTGAGAGTTTGAAAATTACTTGGATAGTTTCGACTATGAAGAAAGCCTGTGACTAGCTTATAAATCATTTTTTGTCCATCATAAAACATCCTCAACATTGGTGAACAAAGGAGGTGATCAGGGTAACTGAGTGCACAGAAGTTGGCATCCAATTAAGTTGTGTTCTTGGGCAAGTTACTGAATCTCTCTAAGCCTGTTTCCTCACCTATAATGTGAGGATAACAATAGTACCTTATAAGGTTGCTGTGAGGTTTTACAGGTAAAGTGGTTAACAGAGTGGTTAGCATATATTAAGGGCTTAAAAAGGGTTCATTGTTATTTTGAGTAGATAAGAATGTATATTTTTATTTCAATTGTCTCATACAAAGAAAACTGGAAAAAAAAAAAAAGGAGTTAAAGTCTACAGCCATCTTTAATTAAAAGCCAAACTACATTTCCCAGAATCTCATTTGTGTGATTCTGTATTAGAACTGGCTAAAGGGCGCCTGGGTGGCTCAGATGGTTAAGCATCTGCCTTCGGCTCAGGTCATGATCCCAGGGTCCTGGGATCGAGTCCCACATCGGGCTCCCCGCTCAGCGGGGAGCCTGCTTCTCCCTCTGACCCTCTCCCCTCTCATGCTGTTTCTCGCTCGCTCGCTCTCTAAAAAATAAATAAAATCTTTAAAAAAAAAAAAAAAGAACTGGCTAAAAGACAACTTCATTGAGATTTGGACAGCAACATGGAAACACCACTTGTTAATCTGAAAGTCTTTTTGCAATCAGGTGCAGTGAGAGACAGAGGCAAAGGGGCCTGGCAGCTTCCAGGCTGCCTTTGCTCTCTTGAGTTCCGTGTCCATTTCTTCTTTCCAACTGTCAGTCCTGTTGACCAACAGCAAAGTCAGATCTACTACCAGGACTTTGGCCGTGTACCTACAAAGGAGGAAGCTACACAGAGGCAACAGCATCCCATAGACCTCTTAACAGATTATCCCTCCTTACCTGGTTGCTCTGATTGGTCGGTGACTCCTCTGATTCTCTAACTCTGCTAATGGACCTTCACTTTCCCAGCTCCTCCTGTGGTTGTGTGAATTCAAATCCGGTGAATGATAAACCTGGGTTTTAAATTCACAGTTCAAGGTCTAAGTTGGGAACCAGAAAGCTTCCATGACTATCTTCAAATAAAAACTTTTAAATTGTACTGCTGATGTGTCACCATCCGTCATGCCTTCTAAATCCGCATCGGGATTCAAATCCTAGAAGATCCAAGGGTACCGGTAGGAAGTGTGACATGTGAGGTGTTATGCATGTCAAAGGAATTGCAAGATTTCACCAATTCATATTAACTGAAACCCAAAGTATATGTATGGGAATATTTCTTAATGGCTTTGTATTAGGGCAGAAGAAATACAATGCTGTATTAGCCTATGTGTTTTTGATATGGGTTCACTAAGTGGAGCTTCTGGATTCAAAGTGTTATTTCATGTGACTAGGAGTAACTCTAACAATGTGCCTGAAAACTAGACCCAGTGGTGGTCCACTCTGAATAAAATGGAGGTGCCCAAACTTCCTTATTACAATGTAGTCTATAGGAAAGTGTACAACATTTAGGGAGATTGGTTTTAATATGATAGATGCTCACCCACCTGTTAAATATGTCCCCTGAGAGGCTCCAGAGGGCATTTCCTTCACCAAGCTTTGAACTCCCTTCACATCAGCAAAGGCTGGATTGGAATCCTGAAAGAACCTCCTAGTGGCGTTTCT